ATCAAACAGCTTTCCAAAATCTCAAGGATATCTATCAGTCGAGACAGTTATATCGTACTTTGACCCTGCAAGAAAAACAGAGATCTTTGTAGATGCTAGTCCTGTAGGACTCGGAGCAATACTTACCCAAGTTGATGCAGATGATCATCGCTTCGTGTTGAAAGAAGGTACTCCCAGATAGATCGTGAAGCAGTTGCCATAGTTTGGGCTACAGAACGTTATCATCTGTATGTCTATGGAAAAGATTTCATCATCATCACAGACCACAAACCATTAGAGGGGATTTTTAATAAACCACTTTCCAAACTTACAGCAAGAATTGAACGTTGGTTACTACGTTTGCAACCATACAACTTACTAGTTGAATACCAACCAGGAGCTAACAATCCTGCTGATTTCTTATCGAGACACCCTCAACCCTACCAACCAAATTTTGATAGAGACATAGAATAATATGTTAATTATATTGCTAATAATGCTGTACCAAAATCTATGAATTTAGAGATGATCCGAGAAGCTACATCAACGGATCCAGCTATGCAGAAATTTATCCAATCTATCAACACCAATATCTGGAATAAGGCTGATCCTGACATTAAGCCACTCTACAACGTCAGAAACCAGTTATCGGTTGTTTCATCAGTTGTCCTCAGAAATTCAAAATTGGTAATACCAGAATCTCTACGTGATAATTGTCTCAAAATAGCTCACGAAGGTCATCAAAGAGTTGTTAAACCCAAACGATTACTTCGAGAAAAAGTATGGTATCCCAACATTGATCGAGATACAGAATCACTCATCAATCATTGTATACCTTGTCAATCAGCAAACACTGGAACCTTACCAAAACCAGAACCACTTCACATGACAGAATTTCCATCACAACCCTGGAGTCATGTTAGTGCTGATTTTTGCGGACCATTTCCCTCTGGAGACCATCTGTTAGTGGTTATAGATTATTATTCTCGTTATCCAGAAGTAGAAATCATCAAATCAACCTCAGCTCACTGTATTATACCAAAGTTAGACAAAATGTTTGCCACACATGGAATTGTTCACGAACTTAAATCTGATAATGGACTCCCATTTAATGGTGCAGATTTTCAATCATATGCTAAAACTGTTGGTTTTCATCATGCACGTGTCACTCCATACTGGCCTAAGGCAAATGGTGAAGCTGAAAGGTGTATGCGCACTATCATCTTTTGTTGAAAGGGGAGAATGGAAGAGATATCTTAATCAATTTTTACTCAACTATAGAGCAACGCCACATTCTAAAACCGGTGTATCCCCAGCTCAACTGTCAAATCAAAACCAAACTTCCAGAAAATTCATTAGGAACACCAAGTGAAGACCACCACCAGAAATTGGCTAGAATAAACGATAAAGCTGCCAAATGTAAGATGAAATCATATGCAGATCAAAAGTTCCATGCCAAATCATCTGATCTCATGCAAGGAGACTTGGTATTAGTGAAACAGAATAAGCAATAAATTGTCTACGCCTTTAAGTGCTGAACCATCCGTTGTATTAGATGTTAAAGGATCTATGATTACACTGAAACGACCTAATGGTAAAGTTTATGCAAGAAACAGCTCGTTACTAAAAAGAGTACCAACTACGTCAAATCAGCTCAATAAAGCAACATCCGATTCTGAAGATGACATCGAGGATGATAGTTATGCTCAACGACCAAATCCAATAATTCCACAACCAATGAGAAGAAACCCAAGAAGACATCGTAATAGACCCCGTTATCTAAATGACTATGTTTAGGGCAAATTTTTTTTATTTCCTAGTCAATTGTTCTGAACTCTGATTTGAGTAACATTATATTTAATCAATGTGCTAAATAATGCGTAATATTTTAAATCTAATCAAGTGGACAGTTATCCATTTTTAATTTGATTTTAACTTGAAAAGAACACAAATAACTTTCAGTGACAATGTTCTTTTATCTAAATGGGGAAGGGATGTAGTGTCAAGTGTTTCGGACTCCTCTGATCATTTTATGTATTGAGAGTTATGTCCCTTAATTGAATATGACTGCGCCCATAACTAAAATACATCACCAAGATCCACCCATAAACATTATAATAATGTCCAAAAAAGTTCCAAACATGTTTTGTTTCTTGCTGAACATAGAAACGAAACTGACAATTGCTTCGAAAAGACGATAAGCAAACAATGGCAAACTCGGGAGTAAAGGTAGTATTGTGGTGAACTCTTCCAAAGAGAAGTACTAGGAAGTCCTCTTAAATAGAACAAGCCCTAGCATAGCGGATGAATGCATGTTGTGGAATGCATATGCTGGTGGTTGTGATGTGTTACTGTTATAAGAAATTCAAGGTCGTCACGTTTGTCATATAAAACAAATCCAAGTAGAACGCTTTAGTCTTAGAATCAACTCTCCTTGGTAGATGTCCATTATTCTACAATATCAATGTAGATGTTCAATATTCTAAAACATCAATGTAGATGTTCAATATTCTAAAACATCAATGTAGATGTTCAATATTCTAAAATATCAATGAAGATGTTCAATATTTTAAAATATCAAAGTATAAATTCAATATTCTAAAATATCAATGTAGATGTTCAATAGTCTAAAACATCAAAGATGTTCAATATTCTAAAACATCAATGTAGATGTTCAATATTCTAAAACATCAATGTAGATGTTCAATATTCTAAAATATTAAAGTAGATGTTCAATATTCTAAAATATCAATGTAGATGTTCAATATTCTAAAACATCAATGTAGATGTCAAATATTCTAAAATATCACTGTACATGTCCAATATTCTTAAATATCAAAAAATTTCATATAGTCTTTATTATATCACAGTTAACAACACTGCAGAACACTAAAATTCATTGTCTGATAAAATACACCCAGATTTAACTGATTAACAAAGTGCAAAATGCATAGCTCCTTTGACTTAAGAACATTGACAATAAATATTCTTAAAATAAACTGTTTTTGTCCTGTTATTTGACGTTTTGGCTTACTGCCTTCTTCAGAAACTTTGGGTTAATAAAGTTAGTAATTGTAATCCATAAGAATTTTTTCATAATATAGTTTTAATTGGTTTTCCCTTTTTGGGAATTTCAAGCATTTCAAGTTGTAATAACGAGTTGTAATTGAATTCCAATCTGAGGGTATTTTTTCTTACAAAAAATGATACAAACAATATGTAAAGGATCGTTTCCTAGATAGCTATCTCACGTGCATCGTGAAAGTACTGTACTATTGGCGTCATACACCCTCACACACCCTCTCTCTCACACACACACACCCTCCCTCACACCCCCTCTCCCACAATCACCACTAATTAAAAAGAAAATACGGTAGGCTGGATGAGATTGTTTTTCATCGCAGCATGTCAAGACATTATGCCATTGTGTGTGTGGATTTTTGTTTTTAGCAGATATACAAACCGTACCACAGGCCCAAACCTTTTTGGTAAAGGGGTTGGGGCGGTCGCGGGTCCTGTAAAAATTATTCGAAAGTTGCCAATTGCGATGTTAGCAGGCCAGTTTGAATTCCGAACCCCACTCTGAGAGTAGGGCTTGCCGTATAGACTCACACAGACCCAGAATTTTCGAGTATAGTTCAAAGAGAATCTGTTCAAAGAAACCTTATGGTTTATTAATTTTAAATGGCCTAATGATACAAACTCTTCGAAGGAGTTTTACTTAAGTCCCTTTTACATGAACACGTTTACTTACATGAGTAGGCCCTATATAAGCTACTTACATAAGTCATTTAATTATATTGGCATGTGAACACTTTTGCTTATATTTTTGGAACTAAAATTAGTAAAACGAGACATGAGTTAAAAAATATCTGTTTCACCTTATGAGGTCTAGTAAAAGTATATTTACCCCACATCATATATCATGACGTTCCCTGTTATGACAGAAACCTATTTTTGCGGGCGAATTTCTGGACGTGATTGTGCAGTTATATATCACTTGATGTCATCAGTTTCTGGTTAAATATTGTCAGCTTTCTTGTCATCACAATGAAATCAAACATTGGTGAAAGTCAGCTCAATACAATTATTTTTGTTAAAATTATTGAAAATGGATTCTTTTTATTATTACTAATTAAGCGTATTTTTAATTTTGTGATAAAAAATGAAGATATGTATGAAAGTTGTATGGGAAGTCACATGCTTCGAAAAATGTGACTATCTGTGTATTTTCTTTTAAAAACTGTAAAATTACATGTACGAATATTTCCAACCTACCAAGACCTGGCCCACATTCACTTTGATAAAATTTACTTTTGAAAGCAGATTTAATTATGAAACTTGGTATGAATGTATATATGGATGAGATCCCGGTCAAGTTCGAAATTGGTATTAATCGGATGAACGGTTTCAGAGTTATTGCCCTTGACTGAGTAAAAACGCGTCAAATTTGGCTTGTTGGCTCTATGGAGTCTCTATCCGATGTTGATGAAGTTTGGTACGCATGTATATCATGATGATATCTCGGTCAAGTTCGAAATTGGTAATAATTAGATGAACGGTTTCAGAGTTACTGCCCTTGACGCGACGTAAAAACGCGTGGAATTTGGTTTGCAGAACGAAGATCAATGTTACAGTTGTAGTTGTAGCAACTATTGTCAGATGACGACTAGGTAAAACACCGTGTCTAATGATTAGTCTAAAGACTTGAAGACCCGAATCTGATTGACTGACTTATATTTGAGCACGAAATTATTTGCTATGACGGCTTGTGACAGAACATTTTGCAGTTTTGTCGCCTGGATGGAACTTTTTGCTTTCCTTCTCAATATGGACAGTAGAAAGTTGAGCGCAAAAGATTCAGTTAATTACAGCACACCGTGAAAAATGTTACATTCTTAACGCGGTCTAGTTGTAATAAGTCACCTCGACTCGAATCATCCTCGAAGTGACATGGACTTATCCTTATCAAATACCTTGACCCAATTTATTTCGATTACACCGAACATAAAAGACCGAACATTACAAATGTCTCGAATATTAAATCATTTTTGCGTTTTACTATTCTTTGATATAATCGCTGCTGAAGATGTCTATGTTACAACCAAGTATGGGAAGTTAGTAGGCAACCGATACAATATCAGTCACGATTGGGCAATTGATACTTTCTTAGGAATACCTTATGGAGCTCCACCTACAGGTAAGTCGTGTCAATTGGGAATACGTTTGTAAAATATTTTATTGCCCCTATCATGTTAAACTTGTTTTTGATGTTGATGAATAACTAACTCTTGCTAACTATAGCAGACGACAGAGCAATGAAATATTTTTCTACTAAAAATTATATTTGGCATAAGTCGGCATTCGTTGACAATTTTTGTTTCGTCATTTACTTTTTTCTAAATTTCTAATTCAGGGTCTTTAAGATGGAAGAAATCAGTGCCAGTAAAGCCATGGACAGGTGTGAAGTCTGCACAGAACGCTGGAAATATCTGCTGGCAAAGCGGGAGTGATTCATGGTTTCCTAGAACGACCACTTTTACACAGTCTGAGGATTGTCTCAACTTAAACGTGTATACACCGAGGGTGGGTAAAAAAAGCCACAAAACATTGAATTAGCTCATATCTATGTGTATAATAATCTGAGGCAATAACGTTAAAACGATGTTTTTGTTTTCAGAAAACCAATTCATCCTTAATACCAGTAATGGTGTATATTCATGGTGGAGCATTTGTTCGTGGTTCTGGTTTGGAGCGTATTGGAAAACAACTTGCAATAAAAGATGTCGTGGTCGTTACTCTAAACTATAGACTAGGTCCTCTGGGTAATTGTAAAGTAATGAATATTTTGTGCCTAACCGTCGTTGGTAATGGTTTGTACTTCATGATATATTTGATCTAGTTTGAAAAGAGCAAAGCTAAATTCACTTTGCGATAAGTTGTTTTTGGACATGCCTTTTGTTTAAGAATAGGTTTGAAAAAGATAATTGAGATAGTAACGTTTAATCTTGCTGTTAGGTTTCCTATCAACTGAAGATCAGGCTGCTCCGGGTAATTTTGGTTTATTAGATCAACTACTCGCTCTACAATGGGTACAGGATTGCATTGGTGGTTTTAGTGGTGATGCTGGTAGAGTAACTGTATTTGGTTTCAGTGCTGGAGCTGCTAGCATTTCATTACTTTTAACCTCACCATTATCAAAAGGTCTGTATGATTTTAAAAGTTATAAGGAAAGAAATCTAGACATGAATGGAGCAGTCATAGGAGCAGTGACTCAACCACTAAACCAAGTCCACGGACCTACGCGGGGCATAAAGAAAAATATCAATATCAGAAGAAAATATCAAAAGGTATTAAATTTACAGGTCTCAGAATGCAGGGGAGCATATGTTTAAAAAAAAATATTCCCCAGGGAAGGACCCGCTACATTTGAGAGTTTCGGCAAGTCATAATGTTAAGTATAATAGCAGTAGACAATAAAGGCTACCAAGTGGTGACTTTGCTATAATTGGAAAATAGCTTTATTGTTTTCTTTTGTCTGATTGGGGCAGAGTGGTTCAATCTGGATTCGCACAAGGAGACATGAAACTCTTCCGCCTTTTTTCATTGTTATGGTTCTATATTGCAGGTTTATTCCATGCAGCAATATGTCATAGTGGTGTAGGTTTAGCTAACTGGGCTTTATCAATGGACACTGATATTTATAGACCTCGAGATAGAGCTAGAGTATTTGGTATTAAATTAGGATGTAGTAAGGATACTACGCAAGAAATCGTAGATTGTTTAAGAACCAAAGATGCTAAGACGATCAGTCAAACTTCCATTAAGGTATCTGACCCCAAATCAGCATAATAAAATTAAATATAGACTCGGTTTTGAACCCTCTCCAGCCACCCTTTTCCCCATGTTACACTTAAATACCTGATGCCGTGAGCTCAGCTTGGTAATTCAGGGGTCTTTTTCTCGGAAAATAACGAAATATGTTTTGAGTGTACCTGTTACTAAAAATCACTTAAATCGATTTTGAATTTACTTTATCTTCCAATAAATGTACTGTAGTTCTTGACATCTGGATTTTATTTTCTATTAGTTAGCTATTCTCGATGGGCCTTATCTAAATAATCAGACAATTTACCATTTGCAGGTCGCGTTGGATAGATTAGAATGGAACCCCGTTGTAGACACATACCACAACACTGTTCCAGATTTACCTATGAATAGTTGGACTAAAGGAAATGTATTAGATATTCCAGTTATTAGAGGCACCAATAGTGGTGAATTGGCTCTCCATATTGGTAAGTTTTGGTAGACAAAGTCTCTGCATTTGGAACTGGAATACAATCGATATAAGATGGAGGTTTGCCTCAATGTTGCATTAGTTTACAGTTTGCACAAGGGCGATTGGACTCTTTATTACTATGAAACTGATATTTTTACAGCTAAAATTCAAGGAAAACATGATGGTATAAAGGCCAGTTATTTTGTGGATCAAATAAAAGACTTCTGTGATACAAGATACATTAGAAATAGGAAAACTATAGAGAACGATATTAAAATGGTTTATGCTACACCTTATAATTTATCAACACCACAGAATGTTCGAGATTCTTACCTTCGGGTGAATATTTGTCTTTATTTAAAAATATTTTGTTAACTCGGTAGATGATGATTTAAAACTTGAACCCATGTTCCATAATGGAAAAGTATTGATATTTATACATGGCATATATAATGTTATGTTATAAATATTTTATTATTTATAAATATATTATTATATTAAACAAAAACGATTTCGACCTTTTCCTGTCAAACCTCTGACCCCAGGTAGTGTGTACATCGTAAATGATTAGGTCCAGTATTGTATTTGTCCTCTCAGATAGCTCTCCTATGGAAAAGTCTAAATTTTTATGTTTTCAGTTTCAAAGTGACAATATTTTCACGGCACCAATTGTACTAGAAACCCAATTAGATGCTAAACTCGGTGGTAAAAATAAAAACTATTTATATGAGTTTAGTTATGTAACTAAAAATACTCTACCTAAATGGGAAGGTACGTTATATTACGAAACTACCGTGTTCAAGCTAAAATAGATTCGACGTTATTAATAGATGTCAGCAGCCATTCAGCCATTCAATGATGTTGTCACAAAGCTGGCTTGACAAACCAAACAAGATAACATTATAAAAACGTGGTAAACACAATGTGTTGAACAATGTTGAAAATTCACCTTTAAAACCTAGTCAATAAAAGTCTCTAATGGATATTTCGTAACCGAAATCGGCCTGTTTCTACTTAGATTTGTATAATCAAGCCAAATAATATCAATAAGGCGAACCCTTACTGGGTACGTTTCTTGATGTTCTGGATGATGCAAATCTCTTATATTTCATGTCATTTTAATTTACAGGAGCATCACATGGAACTGAATTGCCGTTTGTCTTTGGTGATCCATTTCCTAATAAAGGATCTGATATAGATTTAATGATGAGTTTAACTATGATGAATTTGTGGACAAATTTCGCGAAATATCAGTAACTATCAAATTTTGTTTTATTGGATATTATATTTGCTATAGTCAGTAAGAGTGGGTCATAGATGTGTCATCCTTTCCGATGCCTTTGATCGCTTAAATTACCTTTTAAATATATTTCCAGATATCAGACTCCATCCGGAAATGTCAGAAATTCGCCATAAAATGCTTATTTTTTTAAGGTTTGCAACAATTTCTTTATTGTGTATTCTATTGTGAAAGAATGTCCAAGCAGACTGTAGTTTCAGAAAATCATGATTCGAAAATTTTGTCACTAACGTTTTGAACTGCATTTTGGTCAAAATTCTAACTTCTTTAATTTTTACGAAACTTGGTAGATGGATAGAGACCAAATTATCAATTATGATAATACAAAAACATTTTTCAAGAAATTTCGGAAATGAGAGTTTTCTGACAATGTTTTAGAGAAACTTGCAAATTTTTACCCTCAATATCTTAATTTTGTACCTTTGTAGTATATGCAAATTCCTAACCGTTAATGTTAGGCCAGCAGGTCATGAAATGTGTGAGCTCTAATGTGAAAGTATTGTTGCAGACTCTTGTGTAAGTTCTAATTAACTTAGCGGAACAATTCGAACATAACTAAAATTTGCAAATTCACAGCTTTAAAACAATATAGAAAGCAATAATTACAAATAAAATTTACCAAAATTTTTAGAGTAAAATTATAGAGTTAAGAAGATTGACTAACAGGTCATAAAGTCAAATGGTGTTAATTTCACACCTTTTTAGGTTGGAGTGGATAAGCCAAACCTCATTGTATGAAATGATCTATTTAAGATATTTTTGCAGTCGGAAACTTTTCCAAACATTGACATTTTATATGAATATAAATGCAGGGGATGTAAACTAGCTCGGAAGCTAGATCTGTGTCAAACAGGTTTAGTTTTCTTTAATATTTTAAAACTAACCATCAATCCCGAATGAGAGTTGATGATAAGGAGAGTCAGGCCCTTTTGGGCTAATTCCCGTCAGGCCTAATTCCCATTTGACCTACTTTATTTTCCCGTTAGGGCTACCATTGAAAGAGATTAACTATTCCCGTAAGGGCTACTCAGTGGCGGGGGATCCCCCCTCTGCCTCCTCCCCTTTAGCTCCGCCACTGGGGCTACTTGGTAATTAAGGATACTAATTAAAAAAAGTAAAAAAAATCAAACATTCGTTTATTAAACAATCTTTATTAATACATGAACAAAGTCTTACTGAATTAGTAAAATCAAAACATTTTTAATAGTTAATCCAGCAAAACATAACAAATTTATTCTAATTTCAAAAGATGGCCAGCAGATCTTAGAAACTCAACTACAGACTTCTTTCCTGTGGCATAGTCTTCCTTGTGTCTGGCTAGGCTTTGATTGATGACATTGTATTTTCGCTTTCTGGCAGGTGGTGGCATTGCAACATCTTGCTTCGCGATCTTCGGATCGTTCTGTTGCAGCTTGCTCCTTTATTATGGCTTGGACAAATTGAAAGATGTTCGGGTGACACTTGCCAACAAGTTTCTTAAATTTCATGTTCCATCCCTCAACATGATTGTTCGTGCATTTTTTCTGTGTCATGGACATTCCACATGTCTGTTGAAACCTTGGACTCTTCCGACAACAAGGTTTAAACAAAGTAATCATTGAATTCACCAAGCTTTGGATATTCTTCAGTTGTGCACACTTCCATCACAGACAACTAACCACCCTGCACACCAACCAGAGGAAGATGGGCAAGTGCAGCTACTAATCGAAGGTGTTCCCACACAGCACTATCTTTTTGAGCATACTGGACCGAGATACCAATTTTCTGTACTTTCCTCCACAAGCACTGGTTAAAATGGAAATTAAAACCTGTAAGGCTACAATAAAATTATCTGCTTTTACGATTTATTGACTTGATTTGATTACTTTAGGATTCGTACACACCCGAGGACATGGAATCCGATTGGTTAACACTAACATTTACTTCATACATTTTTTTCCAGTAATCCCACACCACAACTAGTTTATGGATCGACATGGCAACCTTTTACATCAGTTTATAATCAATCCTATTTCTTACTCGACTCCAGTACACCTACTAACCATATCAACTTTAGATATGAGGCGACTAAATTATGGAATACTGTTATACCAGCTTTAAAAGCGAAAAATGGTACCGATGTAATCATTGGGCGTTAATAAAATGTTTCTCTCTGTATATCGATATAAAAATTTACAATTGTTGGTAAGATGTTTTATGATGTGTGATCTTCAGACATAACATCTATTTCAGCCTGTGTCCCTACTGAAGTTTGACAAGTAGTATTTTTTTTATCTTGTGCCTGCCCTGCACTCCGGACAAGTTCTGATCGTTTGTTTATAGGGACATTTTGTCCATCATGAACTATATTTGGTAATGCAACAACGCCACTGTATATGGTATGATTTGTAATTTTGTAATTGTGTCTATCTGTGTCACTACGATATCAGCTCAATACTTTCATCATGGAATGACATGGACATTAGAACCTTATCGTTTAAAGATAAAACATGTGTTTATCTTTATCTTGATCCGATCATTCGATTACACCCAACATCAAAAATGTCTCGAATTTTAAATCATTTTTGCGTTTTACTATTCTTTGGTATAATCGATGCTGAAGATGTTTATGTTACTAACATGTAT